TTGGCTGTGTCGGGTGGTGGATAGTTAACGGCACATTTATATTTGTAAGCCATCAAACCACCCCCCCCAAAAAAAAAATCCCTTCATTGTGAAGAGTAATTTGCGGTTATTTTTGTAACAACAACAAAAATAATAACATTTTTGGCAAACGTGGACCTTGACGCGCTCATCGGAACGGGACACTAACGACATGTGCCGCTGGACGGGAGGTGCTGTGCGGGGCTCGATGATGTCACCATCAGCCGCGTCACGCTGGCTGTGTCTTGGTGGCACCATTGTTTAAGGGGGGAGGAGGGGGGGGGGTGTTTCTGGTATATCCCAGAACGTAACGTAATCGATTATAATAAAAAAAATCGACATCTTCAAGAACTCGCATTCACTTCGATTTAAAGCTTTCGTGACTGCAGGGATTCATCTTGTTGGTTCTTTCGGTAAAGTCACGTAGAAGGGAAATAATAAAATAATAAAAATATAACATAATAAAATTTCGATTTAAAGCTTTCGTGACTGCAGGGATTCATCTTCTTGGTTCTTTCGGTAAAGTCACGTAGAAGGGAAATAATAAAATAATAAAAAATAAAACATAATAAAATACAATTCTCACGACGTTTCGGCCACAACGCAAGCAGCCGTCCTCAGGGTGAAGAACAGGTCTGTCGGAAAGACAGCGTCTGAATGACAGCCCTGTTCTTCATTCATGACGCTGTCTTCATTCAGACGCTGTTTTATTTTTATTATTTTATTATTTCCCTTCTACGCGACTTTACCGAAAGAACCAAAAACTCGCGTTCACTTGTTCGCGAAGTGTTCTGCGAGACCGAAACGTCGGACTATCGCAGCCCGAACAGCAGCAGCAGCGGTACAACCCGAACACCCCACGTGGTTGTTATTTGACCATTCTATAATCGGGCACCTTTAGGCGACCCGAATTAGAAGAAAGGGGGGCCCCCGTTCATGATGTCTTGCCCCATGATGTCCACCCACCTCCCTGTTCACACACAGACCCAGCCGCATGGTCTCTCACTCACACACACGCACAAATATAGCCTGGCCCGCTTAACTTTTCTTTGGCCTTTCAGAAATCCACACTGCGGTTGTCACCATCAAAGATCCCACCACCACCACCGCAAAGCATCTTTCTTCTCGATCTGCATCGCTCAGCATTTCTTGAGTGCCACCCCCCGTGTGCCCCCCACCATGTCCCAGCTGTCCACTCTCGCGGCCCATACAAGGCGCCGTTGCTTGAGTGGGACGCCCCGACGCGATTGGAAATAGCCGAGTATCGGGTGTTGCGCCGAGACTGCGGCGAACGCGGCCGAAGGAACGGCGGAGGGAAGCCGCCTTCCTTAAGCGGACGGAGCTGGCTGGCGGAGCGGCATCACGCACGCACGCACAGATACACACGTGGGAGGGGGTGGGTGTGGGTGTTGGTGGCCTTACACACACATGGATGTGGGTGGGTGTGGGTGGGTGTGGGTGGTGGTGGCCTTACACACACACACACATGGGATGGGTGGATGTGGGTGGGTGGTGGTTGTGGCCTTACACACACACACATGGGGGTAGGTGGGTGTGGGTGGGTGTGGGTGGGTGGTGGTGGTGGCCTTACACACACACACACACATGGGGGTAGGTGGGTGTGGGTGGGTGTGGGTGGGTGGTGGTGGTTGCCTTACACACACACACATGGGGGTAGGTGGGTGTGGGTGGGTGTGGGTGGGTGGTGGTGGTGGCCTTACACACACACACACACACATGGGGGTAGGTGGGTGTGGGTGGGTGTGGGTGGGTGGTGGTGGTGGCCTTACACACACACACATGGGGGTGGGTGGATGTGATGGTCTTACATACACACACACATGGGGGTAGGTGGGTGTGGATGGGTGGTGGCCTTACACACACAGATATGGAGGTGGGTGGGTGTGGGTGGTGGTGGCCTTATACACACACACAGATCTGGATGTGGGTGGGTGTGGGTGGGTGGTGGTGGTTGCCTTACACACACATGGGTGTGGGTGGGAGTGATAGTAGTGGCCTTCACACACGGAGCCTTACAAAGACAAAGATCCCCACCTCCTCCCCCGTGTAGCCTTCACAGACTGTTGGGGCCTCTGTGTGAGTCTGTGGGTCTCTGTGTGAGTCTGTGGGTCTCTGTGTGAGTCTGTGGGTCTATGGGCCTCTGTGTGAGTCTATGGGTCTCTGTGTGAGTCTATGGGTCTCTGTGTGAGTCTGTGGGTCTCTGCGTGAGTCTGTGGGTCTCTGTGTGAGTCTGTGGGTCTCTGTGCGAGTGTGTGGGTCTCTGTGTGAGTCTATGGGTCTCTGTGTGAGTCTATGGGTCTCTGTGTGAGTCTGTGGGTCTCTGTGTGAGTCTATGGGTCTATGTGTGAGTCTATGGGTCTCTGTGTGAGTCTGTGGGTCTCTGCGTGAGTCTGTGGGTCTCTGTGTGAGTCTGTGGGTCTCTGTGCGAGTGTGTGGGTCTCTGTGTGAGTCTATGGGTCTCTGTGTGAGTCTATGGGTCTCTGTGTGAGTCTTTGGGTCTCTCTGTGTGAGTCTATGTGTCTCTGTGTGAGTCTATGGGTCTCTGTGTGAGTCTATGGGTCTCTGTGTGAGTCTATGGGTCTCTGTGTGAGTCTATGGGTCTCTGTGTGAGTCTATGGGTCTCTGTGTGAGTCTATGGGTCTCTGTGTGAGTCTATGGGTCTCTGTGTGAGTCTGTGGGTCTCTGTGTGAGTCTGTGGGCCTTTGTGTGAGTCTGTGGTTTTCTGTGTGGGTCTATGGACCTCTGTGTGAGTCTGAGTCTCTTTGTGAGTCTATGGTTCTCTGTGTGAGTCTATGGATCTCTGTGTGAGTCTGAGTCTCTGTGTGAGTCTATGGTTATCTGTGTGAGTCTATATATATGTATGCTTAACTTTTTTCACACCGTACGTATCCAACCGCACCAGTCGCGTGTGCAGAGAGCGCCGGGAAGCAAACTAAACACACAAAAAGCAGTTCTTAAGACGTGAGTTTGTCAATCCTGACGATGATTTAAAAGTGCACAGTGGCTTCGTAACATCGGAAGGAAAGAGAGCGTTCCAGACGGCCCCCAGAAGCGCATCTGAAATTGCGCGATGCAGTGAATCCGTCTGTGTTCGATGGCTACGCATAAAAAGCCGCTGCCGCTGCTGCCGCTGCTGCTGCGGGGATGATAGATGCTCGCTCATCGCAGCGATAGGAGAATATCTTTTTCTTGTTTATCTCGTGGGAAGATCTCTTCCAAGGACGTCTCGCAAGGGCTGAGACGGGGAGGCCGCGTCTCGCGCCTGGCATGGGTCAGAACTTTAATTTCAGCCGGAGCTGTCCAGGGGCTGAGCTCCGGAAAATATGGCTCACACCAACCCGCCACGATGCACACCCACCCACCACACACCCACCCACCACCCACCCACCCACCACTCTACACACCCACCCACCACGCCACACACCCACCCACCACGCCACACACCCACCCACCACACGTCCACCCACCACGCCACACAAGACACACACAATGTTGACTACACTATGAGATCTCTTTTACCAGTGGCAAAATATAATAGTAGGTTTTTACCCTTTTAACTGGTACAAAACTGACACCTTTATTCAAGGCATCATGTTTGCAATGACCACAACACAAGTAGTCAAAAAAGCAACTTGTTGTGGTCATTGCAAACATGATGCCTTGAATAAAGGTGTCAGTTTTGTACCAGTTAAAAGGGTAAAAACCTACTATTAAATGTTGACTACCTCGCCTGGTATACAGGAGGCCGTGGGTTTGATCCCGACCCTGACGCCGGTTGCTGTATATTTTCAGTTTGCGTGTCTCTCGGACCCGGGAAATTTTTCTCCGGGTCCACCGGTTTTTAACCCCACATTTAGAAGCATACATTGTAGAGTATTCGGCTGCTACAAATGTCCGCGTGATAAGCCCCCTTTCGTTGAGCTATCATTTGTGATATCCAGCTCGCTTCTGGAAAAAAATCTCAAAGAGCTACGCAACTCAGCGGAGCTTTGCCTGGTAAAATAAAAATAAAAAATCGTTAGTAGTTTATAATAAGGGCGCCGAACTGGGAGTAGTGGAAAGGACATCTCTGATAACAAACATCAAAAGGACAGAGCAAATCTGGCAACAGTGACTCATCTGCAATTAGCGGCGTGATGAGTCTGCTGCTGCTGCTGCAGCTGTTGCTACTGCTGTGCGTAACTGGGATATCGTCTCTGGGAATTCGAACTCTGGGGGCAGGGCGGGGTGGGGTGGGGGTAGAGAGTTTCCTGCCAGCAGTGAGCGTGCAGTTCTGGACATCAGGGAAAGAATTCGTGGCAGGTGCTGCCATCTAGCGTGGGCGCCACGGTGGCGAGGAGATGTTGACTACCTCGCCTGGTGTACAGGAGGTCGTGGGTTAGATCCCGATCCTGACGCCTGCTGCTGCTGTATATTTGGAGTTTGCTTCTCTCATCATCATTACGGTGGCGAGGAGATGTTGACTACCTCGCCTGGTGTACAGGAGGTCGTGGGTTAGATCCCGATCCTGATGCCTGCTGCTGTATATTTGGAGTTTGCGTCTCTCATCATCATCATGGTGGCGAGGAGATGTTAACTACCTCGCCTGGTGTACAGGAGGTCGTGGGTTCGATCCAGACCCTGACGCCTGTTGCTGCTGTATATTTGGAGTTTGCGCGTCTCATAATCACCGTGGCTATGATATGTTGACTACCTCGCCTGGTATGCAGGAGGTCGTGGGTTAGATCCCGATCCTGACGCCTGCTGCTGTATTTTTGAAGTTTGCGTCTCTCATTATAATTTCGGTGGCTAGGAGATGTTGTGTTTTCATGACCATCATGATGATGGTGATGATAACGACGTTTGCTGGCTCTGCAATACAAACGAGTGACTACAACCACCTCTTGAATTTAAACAAACAAACACAAAAATACCAACGTGATTGACTCTGCTTTTTCTCTCTCCCTCCGTGTCTGTTGCAGGGACCCACTCCTCAAGCCGCGATGGGGTGAGTGACACATTCAACGTTTCCTAGCTACCACGCAATTGCACCGGCCTGCACACTCGTCTGCTCGTCTCGACAACGCACAGGATGTGATGTCCGCGCGTGCCACAGATCTGTGGGGGAGCGGCGGTGCAGCGGTTAGCGCTACGCCGCGCTACGAACCCGGCGACCCGAGTTCGATTCCCGCTCGCGGTCACCGACACCGCTAACGGTTGTCTGAACCGGTCCTGGTCCTCGCCTAGGTCGACTCGGCCTCAAATGAGTACCTGGTGCGGTGTGCAGTAAACATCGCCACTGGGGAGACAAAGGCGGCCGGGCGTGGTGCTGGCCACCCACCCCCTCGTGCGCCGTGCCGGCCTTCATAGGTGCTCGCTAACAGCTAACAGCACTTGCCCCAACAGTCTGTTCAGGCTTCTGCTGTAGCGAATCGCGTGGACATTTAACGCTAAAATGAACCCCGCGTTCTTCGTGTGATATACGATGCGATGGAGCGCCACGTGAATCGAACTGAAAAGGGCCCATTTCTTAGTGAGAGATTGAGATTTACAGAGAGTTTGAGAGAGAGAGAGTTTGAGAGAGAGATGTAGAAATGACGAGAGAGATGGCGACATTGAAAGAGGCATTTAAAGAGGGATGGAGAGAGATGGGGAGAGCATCTTCTTGTTTCCTCTGATCGTATTTTCTTTTTTAAAGAGAGATGGAGAGAGAGAGAGAGAAGTTTGGAGAGACGTTTGACTTTTAAACAACTTTTATTGCCGCCAGCAGCAAAAGCACTGGAGGCGATGTCGATATGAAATACACAAAGTCACCAGCAACACAAATGGAATGGAGAGAGATGGAGAGAGAGAAATTTGGAGAGAAAGATTTGGAGAGAGATTGCGTGAGAGAGAGATGATGGCCATATGCCCGCGTGGAAAGACAAATGTGGGAAGGGGGGGGGTGTTACTTTCATGATCATCATGAGATCAGCATTGAGATGGTAATTGGCGTCGTTATGAACACATTCCTGCGGAGGGAGCTGGTAGGAACGTTGGGTTGCTCGGTCAATGGCCAGGGTCAACGGCGGCGTGGTGTATTCCGCAAATATTCCCGACTGTGAGGGCGGGCACAAGCCGGCGTGAGTAGGTTAAACGTTGAGTTTTATAAGGGCACCATGGGGTGACCAGCCCCTCCCCACCCAGCCCCACCCATCCCACCCCCCACCCAGCCCCACCCCTCCCAGCCCCCCCACCCTCCCGACCCAGCCCCTCCCCACCCTCCCCACCCAGCCCCTCCCCACCCTCCCCACCCAGCCCCTCCCCACCCTCCCCTCCCCACCCTCCCCACCCAGCCCCTCCCCACCCAGCCCCACCCTCCCCACCCAGCCCCTCCCCACCCTCCCCTCCCCACCAAGCCCCTCCCCACCCTCCCCACCCAGCCCCTCCCCACCCTCCCCTCCCCACCCAGCCCCACCCTCCCCACCCAGCCCCTCCCAACCCTCCCTCCCCACCCAGCCATTCCCCACCCTCCCCACCCAGCTCCTCCTCACCCTCCCCTCCCCACCCAGCCCCTCCCTCCCCACCCAGCCATTCCCCACCCTCCCCACTCAGCTCCTCCTCACCCTCCCCTCCCCACCCAGCCCCTCCCTGCACGACGGACGGACGGACACAATAATCCCCTGTGGGCTGGTGGAACCAATGGGTTCCTGCCAGTACCAGTGTGGTAGGAGGGTCCGCAGACACTTGCAACTGGTCGTTGTATATTCACCGTCACGACTGTAAACTAACCACCATGCCTCTCTCTCTCTCTTGTCGTTGCATCTCCTCCAACAGGGACGAGGTAAGAACGCTTGGCATCGCATTTCTGTACACGATGTAGGGGCCGTCCATAAATGACGTCACGCACCTAGGGGGGGGTCAGACATTTGTGACGATGGGGGGGGGGGGGGTTGAGAATTGTGACGTCACGTAAAAATGCGCAAATTTAAACAAATATAGACAAACACGTTCTACTTAATTAAATAGACTTTTTAATAAATGTTTTCTTCCTACAACATCAGAGTGCAGCGCCACTTTAAATACGCGCTACAATGACAATAGTTTAAAGCGATTTGAAGCATGTTTTTTTTTGGGGGGGGGGGCAGAGCTTTGTGACGTCATATTTGAGGGGGGGGGTCTGATTTTTTGTGACGCCGTGTGACGAAGGGGGGGGGGGGGGGAAATCGTCCAAAATCGCGTGACGTCATTTATGGACGGCCCCGTAGGGCACAGTGGCCAATGAAGTTCACAGCTCCAGGGCGCGAAGGGGTCGCGTGTTTGGAGGGCAAAGGTCACCTCCAAACACGTGATCACAACCGACCTCGCCATGGCGATTTACCTGGCAAAGACAAAACAAGAGAGAGAGAGTGAGAAATAACTCCGTGCTCGATAATTGGTTTCTTTTACCCTTCTATCTGGCAACAAAACTGACACCTTTTTTACAAGGAGTCATGTTTGCATAGACCACAATACCTGCAGTCATAATGCAAACAAAAAACATAACTCTGATAATATATGCACTGTCCTTGAAGTTGATTGGTCCACACCCGAGACAGATTTCATTAGAGCCTAGTCTCACATGGTGTTGGACCAGATGACGCCAAAAGGCGCACAACTCAAAGACAATGCACCATCAGAGTATGAGAGCTCGGGGTAAAGCATTTACACCATTGGAACCTCATTTGCAAGTAAACAATATGATAATTGTTTATTTACCCTTTTATCTGGCAACAAAACTGACACCTTTTTTACAAGGAGTCATGTTTGCATAGACCACAATACCTGCAGCCATAATGCAAACAAAAAAACATAACTCTGATAATATATGCACTGTCCTTGGCGTCATCTGGTCCAACACCATGTGAGACTAGGCTCTAAGGAAAGCTGTCTCGGGTATGGACCAATCAACTTCAAGGACAGTGCATATATTATCAGAGTTGTGTTTTTTGTTTGCATTATGACTGCAGGTATTGTGGTCTATGCAAACATGACTCCTTGTAAAAAAGGTGTCAGTTTTGTTGCCAGATAGAAGGGTAAAAAAATCAATTATCATATTTTTTACTGGCAAATGAGGTTCCAATGGTGTAAACTCCGTGCTCGTCAATGCTGTGGGTTCACTCTCGACCCCAATGCATCTTAGAACTGACCAAGAAGTAGTTCTGTTGGGGGAGCAGGGGGGTCATCCTCTTCCGGCGCCCATGAACCACCATCAATTCGTCCGCCAGCTGTCGAATTGAATTTGTCAGAAGTGGTCCGCACCAACAGCGGGACATGTCGAGGGCGTGTCCCCAACAGTCTTCATCATTGTCGTCATCATCACCGTCGTCGGCATCATCATCGTCGTCATCATCATCATAATCATCGTTGTCATCATCATCGTTATCATCGTCGTCATCATCATCATCGTCGTCATCATCGTCGTCATCATCTTCATCATCGTCATCATCATCGTCATCATCGTCATTATCATCTTCATCATCATCGTCATCATCGTCGTCGTCATCATCGTCGTCATCATCGTCATCGTCATCGTCGTCATCATCACCATCATCGTTAATGGTAATTCCGCTTTGATTTTCAATCACCAGGTGAAGCCAAAGGTGTCGGTGTCGAGGAAGAACCACCTCAAGGTGAGACGTTCGCACCTCGTGCTGCCCGCTGGGCGCACGCAGACCACGTGTGCGCCTCGGGCCCGACCAATCAACGGCGACCCCAAGACGAGAGGACCATGATGCAGTTCTTCAGGAACTGCTGGATGGTTGTTTCTTGATTTGAAGCTTTCGTGACCGCAGGAATCCATTCTCTCTAGTTCTTTCGGTAAAGTCACGTGGGTAGAAAAAAAATAACAAAATAAATCACGACGTTTTGGTCGCAACACAAGCGTCCGTCTTCAGGAGGTGAGTCACCTGAATCAGGTGAGTCACCTCCTGAAGGCAAGCGTCGTGTTTTATTTTGTTATTTTTTTCGAGCCACGTGACTTTACCAAAAGAACCAGAGAGTATTGGTCTTTGTGTTAAGGGGAGCGGTGGTGCAGCGGTTAGCGCTTCCGCGCTACGAACCCCGCGACCCGAGATAGATTCCCGCTCACGGCCAACGCCAGTGACGATTATCTGAATCGGTACTGGGCCTCCCCTTAGGTCGACTCAGCTTCAAATGACCTGGCCACAAATGATAGCTCAGCGGTGGCGCGAGCACGCAACTTGCAGCCTTTAGCTCCGTGTCGTCTCCCGTCTCATCTCCCGCGTCGTGCCTCCCGTGCAGAGCGCGATGCTGACGTTCGCGCGGGAGCTCCTGGAGAAGGAGAAGATTGAGCGAGCCCAGGAGAAGGTCAACTACCTGCAGGAACGTGTGGCTCCCCTGCAGCTGTCCGGCTTGTCCAGCCAGGACCTCATGGTGAGCGCTTGCGGTCTAGAGGTGGCCCTCCCTCTGTAGCCGATAAGACATAATTGGCATGATCTTCAACAATTTTCAGAGGGGGCTGCTTTCATCAATAAGACATCATTGGCATTATCTTCACTCATTTTCAAAGGGGGGCCCACTTTGGCCGATGATATATCATTGGCGTGATCTTCACCAATTTTCAGACGTGGCCCCACTTTGGCCGATAAGACATCAGAGATGGGCGAAGTTCCTAAAGTTATCCGTGACTCGCGATGCCCAATTAACCGGGCTAAGGGCTGACACGTGTCGCGCATCACAGCTGGAAGGAGCCTGGGTTCGATTCCCGACACGGGCGCCACTTGGGTGTCCTCCGAGCTCCCCAGATTCCTGATCCACCACCCATCGGCCACAACAAACTCCGCACGGAAAACCTGGCGCCATGAGCGGGGCATCGAACCGAGGCCCTCCTTGATGTTGAGTTGCAGGCCTTCACACCACGCCCTCACTCCCTCCTCCTCCATCCTCCTCCCTCCCTCCTCCTCCAGGACCTGTGCAAGAAGCTCCACCAGCAAGTGGATGTGACGGATGAGGAGAGGTACGACTGCGAGATGAAGGTCGGCAAACACAACCTGGAGGTGAGAGGTCGATCGCTCGCGAGCGAGGTGGAACGGGCAGACACTCAAACGCGGCGCGCGTCGCTCGCGTCGCTGCACGCAAGCCAACACGTGGAGGACACGTCTTCTTGGTTCTTTCGGTAAAGTAACGTAGAAGGGAAATAATAAAATAATAAAACTAAAACATAATAAAATACAATTCTCACGACGTTTCGGCCACAACGCAAGCAGCCGTCCTCAGGTGAAGAACAGGTCTGTCGAGAAGACAGCGTCTTTTTTATTATTTTATTACTTCCCTTCTACGTGACTTTACCGAAAGAACCAAGAAGACGAATCCCTGCAGTCACGAAAGCTTTACATCGAAACGTGGGGACTCGTCTCCCATCTGTTCCATCTGCATGGGGATAGGTTGTTGTTGAATTTCATTGACCCCCGGTGATAACGACCCCTTGACCCTCCCTCCCTCTCCTTCCCTCCCTCCCTCCTTCTCCCTTCCTCCCTCCCTCCTCTTCCCTCCCCTCGCTCTCCCTCCCTCTCTCCCACCCTCCCCTCCCTCCCTCCCTCCCTCCCCTCCCTCCCTCCCCCCTCTCTCCCTCCCCCCTCTCTCCCCCCTCCCTCTCTCCCTCCCTCCCCTCCCTCCCTCCCTCCCTCCCCTCCCTCCTCTCCCCTCCCCTCTCTTTCCCTCCCTCTCCCCCCCCAACCCCCTCTTCCTTTTCCTCCCTCCCTTCCCCCTTCTCTCCCCCCTCTCTCCCACCCTCCCCTCCCTCCCCTCCCCTCCCTCCCCCCTCTCTCCCTCCTCCCCCCTCTCTCCCCTCTCCCTCCCTCCCCTCCCTCCCTCCTCTCCCCTCCCCTCTCTCTCCCTCCCTCTCCCCCACGTGATCTGCGCAGATCGAGAATCTGAACATGAAGATCGGAGACCTGAGGGGCAAGTTCAAGCGCCCTCCCCTGCGCCGCGTGCGCATGTCCGCCGACGCCATGCTGCGGGCCCTGCTGGGCTCCAAGCACAAAGTGTCCATGGACCTCCGGGCCAACCTCAAGTCCGTCAAGAAGGAGGAGAAGGAAAAAGAAGTGGTGAGGCCTTCAATGATGAGCGGTGGGGGCAGGCGGGAGGGGGGGCAGCGGAACTTTATTTATTATTTATTCTTGACGGACGTTTAGGGGAGCCAGAGAAATGCTTTGTCCGGCTGACTGATTGGTGATAATGGTGGTGGTGGTGATGATGATGGTGATGGTGATGATGATGGAGATGATGATTGTGATGATAACGATGGTTATGGTGATGGTGATGATGATGGTGATGATGATGGAGATGATCATGGTGATGATTGCAATGATGATGACGACGATGACGATAATGATGATGACGGTGATGACGATGATGACAGTGATGACGACGACGATGATGACGATTATGATGATGACGGTGATGACGATAATGACGGTGATGACGACTACGATGGTGACGGTGATGACGACGATGATGATGATGACGATGACGACGACGCTTGGATCCGCTCCCCGCACGAACCACACGCTCAGCCCGTGCCCCCCCCCCCCACCCCCCCACCCCCCCCACCCCCCCTCTCGCCTCTCCGCAGGACAAGGAGGTGGGCGATTGGCGCAAGAACATCGAGGCCATGTCCGGCATGGAGGGCAGGAAAAAGATGTTCGACGCCGGCACTCAGTAAGGCGACGCAACTGCGGCCCCTGCAACGATGGAAGCTGCAGCCCTCCCAGCCCCCGACTGCCCCCCCTGGTGCCCCCCCCCCCCCTGGTGCCCCCCCCCCTCTACTCGACCCGGCTGCGCGTGTGCGTCTGTAGCTGTTCGCACCTCGCCTCTGTCCTGGAAGAACCTGCCCTAGACACCCGTGCCACCTGCGGGCACACCCGTGCCACCTGCTCCACAAACGTGTCACGTGCCCCACAACCGTGCCATCTACCCCACACGCGTGTCACATGCCCCACTCCCGTGTCACGTGCTCCACAACCGTGCCACCTGTCCCACAGCCGTGTCACGTGCCCCACACCCGTGCCACCTGCCCGCACCTGTACGCGCCCTACCTTCCGCTGGCTCCCGTACTAACCTTCCCGTGCCCTGTGTGACACGTGCCCTGTGTAGCACGTGCCCTGTGTAACACGTGGCCTGTGTGACACGTGGCCTGTGTAACACGTGCCCTCGCCTGTTAGCGGAAGGCCAAAAGCGTCCCGGGAGTTGAATGAATACGCGCGCGAGCTCCAGCCTGCAGCTTGTACCCCCCCGAATTGAAATAAAGACACCGCACGCTGCTGTGTGCTGCTGGTTTATCATGGCCGGAGAAGGGGGTGCCTGTCGCTTTCTTCATTTGCGGGGGGGGGGGGGGCGGGGGGGGTTTGGGTGCCACGGTGGCTAGGAGATGTTAACTACCTCGCCTGGTATGCAGGAGGTCGTGGGTTCGATCACGACCCTGACGACGCCTGCTGCTGTATATTTGGAGTTTGCATTTTCTCTCTCTCTCTCATCAATCATCATCACAGTGGCTAGGAGATGTTAACTACCTCGCTTGGTATGCAGGAAGTCGTGGGTTCGATCCCGACCATGACAACACCTGCTGCTGTATATTTGGAGTTTGCATTTTCTCTCTCTCTCTCATCAATCATCATCACAGTGGCTAGGAGATGTTAACTACCTCGCCTGGTATACAGGAGGTCGTGGGTTCGATCCCGACTCTGACGCCTGCTGTATGTTTGGAGTCTGCGTCTCTCTTTCTCTCTCCCAGTGGTCGCGTGGAAGTTTCTCCGGGTTCTCCGCTTTTTCCCTTCACGTTCAGAATCAACGTCACGCGTTTATAGAGTAGTTGAGTGCTGCTATAACATGTCCACACGATGACGATGAAAATCCCAATTCGTTGAGCTATCATTTCTGATAGCCAGGTCGCTTCTGGAAATAGGAGCTATATACTCTTTGGTTCTTTCGGTAAAGTCACGTATAAAGAGAAAATAATAAATTAAATACTAGCATACGACGTTTTGATTGCAACTCAAGCAATCATCATCAGGTACAAATGAAATAGAAACACAAATCTAGTAGACTTAGAAATGTAATGTAATACAATAGAGAGTCGGATAACATAACAGTCAACACCCTACCTGGTTGATTACGTTCTTCCTGAGAATGTTAAATTTGAGAGAGAGATAAAACACAGAACCAGAGACATATAGACAGACATATAAGTATCTCTGTGATATCTGTCTGCTTATATGTTTGTCTATATGTCTCTGGTTCTGTGTTTTATCTCTCTCTCAAATTTAGCATTCTCAGGAAGAATGTAATCAACCAGGTAGGGTGTTTGACTGTTATGTTATCCGACTCTCTGTTGTATTACATTACATTTCTAAGCATACTAGATTTGTGTTTCTATTTCATTTATACCTGACGATGATTGCTTGTGTTGCAATCGAAACGTCGTATGCTAGTATTTAACTTATTACTTTCTCTTTATACGTGACTTTACCGAAAGAACCACAGAGTAATTCCTGCAGTCACGAAAGCTCCAAATTAAGTTTTCTTTCGGTAAAGTCACGTAGGTACAAAATAAAAGAAATCACGACGTGCGGGCGAGGTAGTCAACATCTCGCACCCCATTGGCGTGATGATCCACCAATCGCTGCTGCTGCTGCTGCTGCTTCCACAGTGACGTATTACAGGCAAGCCACGTGAAGCAGCGTCGCCACCACCGCCACCAAGCGAGGATGCAGAAGGAGGTGCTTGTTTTGGGCCGTGAAAGAGACAAAAAATTAACCCATAAAAACAACGTTTTTCAGTATAAATCCTTTATTTGCGTGGCGGCTAGAGTCCTCTCGTCCTCTCGCTTGAGATGGCTGCCACCTATGGGTCAGATGATTGCCTGCCACCATTAAGCAATTAGTAATTAAATATAATTTATTTTTTCCTAAAAGTGTAAAATTTTGGAGAAAATTTTTTCACGAAAATAAATTGTCACGCACAACGAGTCTGTGTGCAAAATGTCAGCTCGATTGGATCACGGGAAGTGGGTTAAATAAACGACCGAAAGATTTGCACGGTCGTAAGCACGCAAGCAAGCAAGTGAACTTAATGTAAAGGATTTAAAAAAAGAGCCAACTTGGTTTTGGTTGAATTCTCCACTTTTTAATTCAAAAGGATCAGCACGTCACAGATGGCTGTTTAAGACACGAGTTTCACAAGGCTACACGATGTTTTACCCGGACATCTTGAAGGGGGCCCGGGGTTTCGCACGTTGACAAAATAGTCGCGAGCACACCCCGCAGCAGCATCTCTTTAACGCAAGTAGCGGCAGTGGTAAGGCTTTAACGACAACGAATGTTAGACACAATAAAGGTTGGTTTGGGTTAGATCGCGTAAATGTGTCGTTAAGCCCGCCACCACCACCCGACACACATTCCAATTAGTAATGGGTTATCATGTAAACATAACGTGCCAATTAGAAGAAAAAAAACCCCCCGCAACATTTAGAATTCGTAGTTCGACGTTTCGCTGGTGATTACAAACCAGCTTCACGGGGCCATTAGCTGTCTCACAGTTGGCATTGGTGACCGGAGGTATTTATGGATTTAAATTCACAGCCGCCAAGACGTGGTGCCCCTGCTAGCAGGTCAGACCCAGGCCCGTTAGGCCTTCCATCTTGCCACACGCGGTCCCAGAGACGGTGTCAAATAGTTGGCCCTCTGTCCGCGACACCGAAATCTCGAGGACTCGGGTCTCCCTGCCATCGACCGTTCAATCCATGGCGTCACTCCCTCAAGACATCCTCAATCCGTCTGTGCGGCCGCGTCGCGCGGGACGGAAGGACGGAGGGCGACTTCCTCTCCTCTTCCCGCACAAAGCCAACGCTGCTACCGCCGCCTCGCCCGGCTGTTGTCTCTCCGTCCGGGCGGAGGGCGGCCCCTCGGCCATCATCGTAACGGCAACGCCGTCCCAGCCAGGTCGTCGGGCCTGTCTGTGAGGCGGCGGCAGCGGCCTAACCTTGCAGGAGACCTCCTCCTGCTATAACGTGGTAGACACTCTGTGTTGGCACTGCCCTCAGATCTGCCATGAGGTGACAGCCTCACCTTATAGGAGTAGACCTCCTCCTCCTGCTATAACGCTGTGGACACTCTGTGTTGGCACTGCCCTCAAGGTCTGCCGTGAGGCAACAGTCTAACCTTGTAGGAGTAGGCCTCCTCCTCCTGCTATAACGCGATGGACACTCTGTGTTGGCACTACCCTCAAGGTCTGCCGTGAGGCAACATTCTAACCTTGTAGGAGTAGGCCTCCTCCTGTTATAACGCGGTAGACACTCTGTGTTCGCACTGCCCTCAAGGTCTACCGTGAGGCAACATTCTAACCTTGTAGAAGTAGGCCTCCTCCTGCTATAACGCGGCGGACACTCTGTGTTGGCACTGCCCTCAAGGTCTGCCATGAGACGACAGTCTAACCTTGTAGGAGTAGGCCTGCTCCTGCTATAATGCTCTTTGTTGGTGTAACGGGGGGGGGGGCGTCTGTCACCTTACGCGTTTCTGGCGATGTTGTGGAGCACTGGGCCCAAAGGCCTGAAAAAGGCTGTAAGAACTTTGGACAAGAGACGATGGGAGGGAATTCCAGTCGGGCAACGCCAGGGAAGAAGCAGGGAGGGAGGTGTGATGACCTGCAGTGTGGTGAGTGGATGAGTGCGTGGGTGGGTGGGTGAGTGGATGAGTAGATGGGTGGGTGAGTGAGTGGGTGGATGAGTAGGTGGGTGGGTGAGTGGGTGGATGAGTAGATGGGTGGGTGAGTGGGTGGATGAGTAGGTGGGTGGGTGAGCGAGTGGGTGGATGAGTAGGTGGGTGGGTGAGTGAGTGGATGAGTAGATGGGTGGGTGAGTGGGTGGATGAGTAGATGGGTGGGTGAGTGAGTGGGTGGATGAGTAGGTGGGTGGGTGAGTGGGTGGATGAGTAGATGGGTGGGTGAGTGGGTGGATGAGTAGGTGGGTGGGTGAGCGAGTGGGTGGATGAGTAGATGGGTGGGTGAGTGAGTGGATGAGTAGATGGGTGGGTGAGTGGGTGGATGAGTAGATGGGTGGGTGAGTGAGTGGGTGGATGAGTAGGTGGGTGGGTGAGTGAGTGGATGAGTAGATGGGTGGGTGAGTGGGTGGATGAGTAGGTGGGTGGGTGAGTGAGTGGATGAGTAGATGGGTGGGTGAGTGGGTGAATGAGTAGGTGGGTGGGTGAGCGAGTGGATGGCTGAATGGGTGGGTGAGTGGAGTGACCAATGAGTTCTGAATTGGTCTGTAGTAAGTAGGCACTTATAAGGGGGTGACACGTATGAACGCCACAATTCCTGCCGAGGGGGCGACTTGTTCCATTAACGGTGACGATGGAGTCATTTTCCTCAGAAATATTAAAATGGAATTTTTTTTTTGGCGGGAAAGAAATATTTTGGCAACACGCGAAACAACTGGGCCCCCTTCGGAACTTTGACAACATCGAAAACACACACAACAGCACAACCGCTAATTCACCAACAGCGGGTAATTTACAAACCAGACGGTCAGCAATAAACCGAGGTAAAAGACGTTTAGAGAGCGTTGGCCGTTGTCACAGTATTTATCGAAAAATCGTAACTAATAATCGAAAAATCGTCACGGTAATAATAAAAAAATCGTCACGGTAATAATCTCAAATTCTCACGGTAATAATCGAAAAAGCGTCACGGTAATAATCAAAAAATCGTCACGGTAATAATCTGAAATTCTCACGGTAATAATCAAAAAATCGTCACGGTAATAATCTCAAATTCTCACGGTAATAATCAAAAAATCGTCACGGTAATAATCAAAAAATCGTCACGGTAATCATCAAAAAAATCGTCACAGTAATAATCTCAAATTCTCACGGTAATAATCTAAAATTCTCACGGTAATATTAAAAAAATCGTCACGGTAATAATCTAAAATCGTCACGGTAATAATCTAAAATCGTCACGGTAATAATCTCAAATTCTCACGGTAATAATCTAAAATCGTCACGGTAATAATCTCAAATTCTCACGGTAATAATCAAAAAATCGTCACGGTAATAATCTTAAATCGTCACGGTAATCATCGACGAAACAAATCTCCGTCAATTCGTACGATTGAAATACAATTATCATCAGTTTCTGGTTGTTTGTTGTTGTTGTTATTGTTGTACCACTGAACCCGGAATTCCTCGCGAGAGAGACTCAAATCAATCCACTTTGAGGATATAAAGTTAACAATTCTAAAGTCGATCCGTCCACAAAATAAGGCAAACGTGCTCGTAGAGTGAAACTTGATTACAACCG